ACTCTATGTGGCAGCATGGTCAGCCAGGACTGCAACAAATCCTCTAAAAACCTGCCCAGATAGCACTGAACCTTTCCATCTTCTGGCCTGGTCTCTCACCTTCTAGCTAAACTGAGCAAAACAGCCAGCAGTACCACACCCTATGTGCCTGCAGTCACACACAAACACTCTCTTCTCCTCCCATGAACTGCTTTAAGCGCTGCTTCTCCTTGTCCAGCAGAAAACAGGCCAGTAACACGCAGAAGCCGTCCATCCAGTCACTGGAGATGAGAACTGGGTGGATTTTGGCAGATAATTCCCAATTAACTTTTCAATTCCATTTCACAGCTTTTCAACACTTATTGATCTTATGATATATTGGAACAGGTTGCCCAGAGAAGCTGTGGATGCCCCTCCCTGGAAGTGTTTAAGGCCAGGCTGGATGAGGCTTTGAGCAACCTGGTCTAGTGGAAGGTGTCCCTGCTGATGGCAGGAGGGTTGGAACTGGATGAGCTTTAAGGTCCCTTCCACCCCAAACCATTCTATGATTCTATGATTATATCATCCATTATTAACTTGCTACCTGGGCAATGGCCAGCTAAAATCTCACCTGATGTTTATTTGAGCAAACATTCCAGTTTCACATGTACGACGTTTTTTATTGAGGCACAGATAACCAATGGTCAGTGACCTCCAGGACTGTTGATGTTTTAGCCAGATATTATCAAGCCTTTATCTCTGAATACAGGTGAGGCATCAAGAATGCAAAAAAAAAAGGGGGGGTGGGGGCAGTAATTTTCAAAGGATACAGAATAAGATATGCTAGCTTATTTATGCATACATTGGCTACACATTTGTTCAGGTTTTCCAGCCACCTTTCTCCTATATTCATCTTGGCCATTCAAAAAGATTTAAAAAAACAAGCCCTAGACATCAAATTTCTCAAGATGGGGCTTAAAAATCAAGGTTTTTATAAAATAAGTTAATTATTAATTCTATTTTTCTGACTTCAGAACCTGTCCTTCAGAACCACTTCATGGTTAAACACTTTTTTCTGCATCACTGAGATGATACATGTTAAGCAGCTGTATTCAGAATATACATATCATTATTTTGATTTCAAAGGTAGATTTTGAAGACCTCCCACTAGATATAAACATAAATATGATACCATCACAACAGTTGCCAATACTTCCCTTATGTTAACCTACTACAACTTACAAGCACAAGTGAACACTTAAATTTTAAGAGCAGTATAATGTCACAAGCCCTGAAAAATTAAAATCCCTTGGAACTTCCTCTGACCCCATTCTTAACATCAAATTCTTAACCCCAGCTTTTCCCCAGCCTCTCAAGCCCCTCAGCAAACAGGTCACGCTGACGACATATCCTTAAGGTCATCAACTTACAATTAGGGTGTTTTTTTCCAGAAAATAATTTGCAGCCAAAGACACTGAGGACAAGACAAGGAACACTGACACCCTCGTTGTTCCCTGTTCTTGAGGCCTCCTAAGCAACGAGATTTTTGTAACTACATTGTCAACCTGCTCACCTCACAGCTGATCTCCAAACAGTTTTTGAACTTATGGTCTGTTTGTACAAAATTTGATAGACAAGGTGATGAAACTTCTAAAAGTTTGATAAAAAACTGGTGACTGGTAAAGAAAAATAAGCTGCAGGCAAGGAGGGGGAGCTATAGCTGCAGCTGCTGCTTTGAAGACCATAACTGAAGCAAGTTTGTATAACATTGCATTTGCACCCGGGGACACCCTGCTTACACCCAGCAGATAAAAATGAGACATGAATGAAGACACGATGCATTTATATATTTTTCCATCCTACTTGGGGGCATTTCTATTAAACACAGAGCTACCTAAAAGACTGGAATTTTTTTTTCTTTTTGTTTTTACTCTGCATCAAGGTGTAAAACCAGGCCACTATGGTCTGAAGCTATGAGGCATCACAGACTCAAAAAAAAAAGTAAAGAAAAGCTGGCCAAGAATTCTCCTATCAGCAACTGGAGCCACATGTGTCTTTATTAGCTGTACTCTTGCTTAGGAGCAGAAACAACAGCAGCTGCAGAGCAGCACAGGCTACAAGACAGATCTTGCTACCTGCATAACTGACTGAGCGGTGTGATTTGATAATCCCAGCCTGTGAGTGAAGCACTACTGCAGACGGCAGGGAACAGCCAGCTAGTGTAGCAGTTGTCCTCCCAAGAAATGAGAGATATCTGTAAATAGTTATGGTTATACTTTAGGAAAGGAGTAATTGGTTATTGAATATTATCTCCTTTATTTATCAGCTCCCTTTTTCTTTTTCCCCTAGAATAAAGTTCTATTTCTTAAGCATTTGATACCCTGTTTTTTAAGAGGGGAAGATAGGCCACTTTTTGGTGTGTTCTCCCAGGTTTCTGGAGAGACATTAAGGATGGATATTTATTACCAGCTCTTTAAAGGAATGTGGATCACCTCTTACTGTTGCAAGTCAAGCCTTGGTAAAAGTCATAAACAAGCTTTTGATAAGCTAGTCAAGAGAAATGCCATGTTCAGGTAAATATTCCTATTCCCTCTAGTATTCTCTTTATAGAAATAGCTCCATTAAAACAACACAAAAAACTTACAAGCAAAATATGCATTAAAAAGATACCAAACCAGATGAGAAATGATAAAAAAACATTATACTGACTCAAGTACAACCAATATTTAATTAACTGCTCTGACTGTGCCTGGAGTGCTTGTCCATGCTGTACTTTAATAATACAGTCCAATCTTTCTTTTTCAAAGAAATCACAAACAAAACTCTCTCCACTGGGAACAAAATCTTACTTTTAATTCTGCAGTCATTTTTGCAAGAATTGTACATTTTCTACTGTTTATTCACAGTATATCATTTCACACATAAAAAATACATAAGCCTCTGTCAAGATAAATGATTGGTGTCAAAATGAACAGTACAGAACAAAAGGAGAAAAAAAGAACAAACAATCTGCAAACAACAGATGACTAAGAGAATTATGTTATAAATTACCTAATCTGATGCCTTTCTTCAATATGACTGCCAATTTGAAAAATTAAACAGTATTGTAAGTAATGAATGAGAGTGTGATTTGGATCACAGCAATGATGTGAATATTATTTTTAACTGATTAGATGTACTTCAAATGTCTTTGATTATTTACACAACATTTATTTCACTACTTTTTTGCAATCTTCCAGAAAAAATTCTGAATTATTATAATGAAATATTATAAAAACATTATTAAAAAAAAAAAGCCCTACTGCATCAGAACAGTGGTTCATCCAGCCCAGCACTCATCTCCCACTGTAGCAAAAGACAGTTGTGGTTAGGAGAAGCCTATGGCCTGCCTCCTTTTTGCAAACCATTCCCCTTGTATTTTCCCAGTACCCAGAATCATTGTACTAGGGATTTGAAAGAGTATTTATGTGCTTCATCCTTCTAGTATTCACTTAAGAACCTGCTGTCCATGAACTTTTAAAAGCCATTTTTCACCCTTGTGATACTGTCTGCCTCCACATCTTTCTGCAGCAAAAACTTCCAGAAGTTCACTACCCATTGTGCAAGGACTATTTTTATCCATTTTAAACTGATTCACACTAGGTTTGAGTGCCCCTGGTTCTCATATTGTAAGATTCTCTATTTAGCTTATCTATTACCAGAGAACTGTTAAGTGTCTCCTGAACTAACTAGAAAAGAAAGCCACTGCTTCAGCTCTATGCATTTTAAAATGTGATTTCTTAGACACCAGACATTCTAAAAGTTGGAATTTTTTTTAATAAGGATTAATGAAATGAAGTAAGAGTTAAGGATGATTACCCATTATATTTCCCAATGTTTCACACAAAAATAAGTCAAAGAAAAACTTCAAAGTCAAGCATATAAACATGAGTAAATTATATAGCTAGCACCTTTTTCTATGAGAAGCTGATCCAACCCTTCACACCAACCATGATCTGGAAAATTTCACGTCTGAATCTGATCTTGTCATTTTGGACTCACATCAAACATTTGTATTTTCTTATTCAGAGTTTGAATTTTGTATTCAAACTTCAGCCACTCCTTGACAAACAATTACTGCCTTTTCAGAATGTCTTAAACTATCCTGAATAAAAGGTTTTGAATACAATGAGACAACCATCTTCTCCTTTCTGCTTACAGAGGATATCAGCATTTCCTGTGAAAGGTATGAATCTTAGTATGTATTGATTTTTTTTACTAAATGCAAAAAAATTACCAGCCATTCTCTAAAGAAGTCTATAAGGCTACTACAGCCAAAGAGCACGCAAAGCTGCTCATACTGAGCGTGCAAAGGCAGCTTTATGCCGCTTTAAGACATGCCTAGATTACATCAGTATTAAGCCAGTCAGTCCCATTCTGTGTACCAGCCTGAAAAGATGTAAATCCGACAGAAGTCTGCTCTAAATTTTCTTGAGCTGGAAGAGGAGCAGGTACTCACACAGAAGCTATGGACCACCAGCTCGCAAGTGCACCTTGAGCTACATCCCTTTTCCAAATCTGAATGATCTCCTTGTTTCCCTTTCACTAGTTCTCTGCTAGGTAAGGATCTGCAAAAACAGGGATATGGATACAGCTATCATTTGACCACAAATATTTGAGCATATTTTCAGTTTAACTGTTTTTACAGTAAACAGAAAACCAAGATTGCAGAATACCTGCACACATAAACTGCACCTTCTTAATGCCAGGCTTAGCAGCACACTGTTAGAAGCTGAGTATTTTTAATAGTAAAACACTATTGCACAATACCTGCTTGAAGTATCACAAACACAGTCCCTTTGATGGGTAGTCCAGAGAATATTTTAAGGCCTACTTTCCTCAAAATCTGCTCAATCACTATATAATCATTTACTTGTTATTTGCAAACGTTAATCCAGGGTCAAGGTAATGGCTCTGTGACACAATGCTTAAATTTATGTAAAACCATGCCCTTTTAGCATTCGTTTATAACTTTGGTGGGCTACTGATTTAAAAGCAGACTCCTGGCTTTATCAGAGCATGGGCAGAAGTGACCTAACACTGCAAACAAAATGCTGCTTCTAGCTTCAGCTTTTTTTCTAACACTACTGCAGTGCTCTGATGCCCAAAACAAAACAAGCATTACACCTGCAGACTGTAATACCATTGAAACAGATGCAGGAGTGGCCCTGGATTTGGTCAACAGGCATCGCAGAGATGGCTATGTGTTTGGTTTATTCCGGGTTGCTGACGCACACAAACTCCATATAGTAAGTATCAATTTAAAGGCTGATTTACACAAGACTTTGATTTTAAAATAAGGAGCCAGATCATTAAAAGCTTATGTTTATTGCTTTTAACAGAGCAATGTTGATGTAACTACAGCAATGTAACTCTGATTTACACTATCTCAGTATTAATTTGTGCATGGTTTATTGTAAATAAGCTTGATTTTGAACGATGCTGAATGCCCTCTATTCTCTTGGCTGACAGGATGTTAGCATAAGAGATGCTCTGAACAGCTCTATACAACACCGGAAATTAATCTGTCCTGTCCGTTGTCAGGTCTCAGATGTTAAGTTCAAAATTTATATTCAGAGGGTTTCTTTAATCTGTGAATGTCTACCATTAATTAGATCAATGTATCCTTAAATATCAGTATTTTGTTATTATCTTAATTTTGGAGATAGCTGGATAACTGGAAGGAAGAAAAAAAGGCAGAGGAAGCCAAAGGAGATGAAAATGCCACTCTGCAAAACAGGGGAAGGGCTGGATAGAGAATCCATACCAGTCATTTCCTATTTCCTTCCTATTTCTATTTCTGTTTCCTAGAGGATACAGAAGCCTTTCTCGAGGATTGCCTAAATTCCAAAGCAAAACAATAGCAGAAAAAGCAATAGAATACAAAATTTCTTTAACTAGTAGATAAAAGAGATCAAGGACATGCACATTTACTAAGGCACCTGGCTGCCTTTTAGCTGTTTAGCTACGGAACTAGAATCCAGGCACACATGCACTAGGAAGTGTATTACACATCTCAGCGTGGCAACTGAAAAACCAGGCTAGTTTTTGATACAACTGGTTAAGACCGCCTGTTAGGACAAGAAAAAGCTCAGAAAGTGACCCTAAGCCCACATTCCTACAGGTCTTGAGGTATGCTTTCAAAAAAACCTGATGGATTATTTTGCTTTTCAAATACAAGGATGTGGCAAGTGATAGTATTGGGTTTTTATGCAGTAGTCAGGTAGTTAAAGATCTCACCTAGGAAGCAATCAGTTTTCTTCAGCATTAAGAGATTTAAACCCTCAAGCCTCTCGACCTTGTAGAATGCTGCTGCCATGCAGTTATGCGTGTGCCACCATTGTGAAGTGGAGCCACTGCGCAGTAAGAGATGCCAAATTCAGGGGATGAATGAGAAAAAACATAGTTGTTTCTAAAAAGAAAAATCACAGTGTTTCTACATTTTAACCAATTACTGACTATATAAACTATAGAACCATAACCTGAAGTAGGGACCAGAGCTGAGGATTCACAATTCCAGATGAATGCTACAACCACTAGACTACCATGCTTATGTTCTCCTTTGTACTCTTAATGAATTTTGCTGTCTTTGCCACAGTTCCAGCTATCACACAGAGCCTACAAGAACAGAAAAACCCTTTCTATCTATCTTACTGCTAAAGAATTCTCCCTGTAAGGTCTCTGTACCTTCTCAGACCCAAAGCCACCAGGTGTGGTCTCCTGCGTATTGATCATGTACAATTTTGTGCAAGAAGTTTTGTTGGCTTCACTGCCAAGATGACATTCAAATATATACATATATATATAAAGACCAGAGCATGATTTTTATTTTCTCCATGCAATAGTGTGCATCAAGTCTATCACATCAATACCCTTAGAAATTTAAGCAGAGCAATTCCTAGCAGCCGGATCTCTACTAGATTTACGTTGGAGTTCTAAAAGTATAAGATACTCAAATATTCACACTAGAACAGTTCTGGGCTTGTGCAGTGCAGAACTCTGGTGCCCAAGATGCTTCTAAAACAACCAAGAAGGCACTATATAACATAATTTTTTCCCCAAGAGCTAACCAGCAGATGAACAGAGGAATTTTCTACTGCATATTTGGATGTATACATTTAAAATCATCCAAGCTCTACTTTAGACTTTATTGAATCCAAATGCATCCTACTGAAGAAAATAACTATGTGCCAGGGATGAACTGACTTCTTTGGCATTTCACAAGATTGGATGACAAAGTGGATGTATTTAGTCATTTCAGTTTTAGGGGGCTCCTAGTGAACAGCATATTTTACAAAATACTATCTTACCTTTTCATTCAATGCAATTCCATAAATACAAACCAGAAAAAAACCAGTCTTCCTCACTGTCTCTGCTCTCTTTTCCATCTGCAGTTTACTAATATGTTGACTAGCAGCTTGAAATTATTGAGATTTAAAAAATAAAATAGAAATGTTAATTACACCTAAGCAAAGAATAATAACGTGGCTTGTGGGCACGATGGGTGTCCAGGACAACTGTATTCTTTTCCCAACTCTGCCACTGAATAACATGTGCCTTTCTGCAAATCACCTAGCCCCTGTTTTAAAAATAGAAGCAATGTTAAGACATACGCATTCTGCAAAACTAGTGCTTAACGTGACACTGGTGGACTCTTACTGATAAAAATATTACACTAGACTGCACTAATTCTTTCTCAATGTCTCATCTATACAGAAACACTCTGAAAAAGGAATCTGAATGGATGAAAATTCATAAAACCTGAGGACATTTATTCACAGTGAAGAGCTTTGCATCTTCTTATCTAAATGACAAAATAAAATACGTCTGTGTTTATTCTGAATGTCCATACAAGTGTTGGATGAAATTTAAATAATCCATTCCAAATATGAATTGAGATTCATTTTCCTGCAGAAAAATACAAAACTGTTTCTGTGGGCCACAGATAATTCTTAACACCACATCCCATTACACTGGCAGCCAAATTCAAATTCTGATTCTCCATCCCATTTGCTCAGGAGACAGAACATACTAGAAGAATTTCAGAGCTAAGGCTCCTGGCTTTGTAGGGATTATTACAGCTTTGTTGTATCACTCCCTGAAGAAACCGAGCAGGAAACAAAGTCCTGAAAGAGTATGGGGTCACTAAGGCCATTTGAATTGGAGGTAGCTATATCATTGGCTGCCTAGACAACTCATTTCCTGGTAGACCAATATGTTCTATGCAAGGATCAGAAAAAGAGAATGGCAACTTTTTAACATGGACATTTTCTCTACTTGATGGATGCCAGGCTAACAACAGACTCTTCTCACAGATTCTCAACAAAAGGGTAAGAGGCAACAGCCTAAGTTGCAGGAATAGTTCTGACTAGATATAAGGCCCCCAAAAAATCATGGCAAAAGTGGTTAAGTACTGGAATGGCCCAGAGAGGTTGTGGAACATCAGTCTTGGTGATATATGGAACTCAGCTGAATCTAACTTTGAAGTCAGCTTTGCCTTGAGCAAGTGGCCAGACAAGATCACCTCCAACGGTCCCTTCCAGCCTAAACCCTTTCTATGCTTGTCAGTGCAGAAAAACCTTGATAGGGAACTGGGGAAGCTACATTAAAGATTAAACATATCTACTTCAAAAGAAGTTTCTTTCAGACCAAACTGCTTGTATACAAACTCTTTTCTACCTGCACTTCTCTTCCAGGGAAATTCATCAGTCCTCTTCTTAACTTTGGATGTGCTGGAAACTGAATGCTCTGTATTATCCAGAAAACACTGGGAGTCTTGTGACTACGGTGACACCTATTTCATGGCAAGTAATGGCACCCAGGCAGAGTCATATGTCAATAATGTATTAACTTGATCTTCACCTGGACTGCTCAGAAATTTCCGTGTCACAAAATCTCTAAGTGAAGACTAGGCTTTATTATGGCTCACTATAAAACAAAATCTATTGAATTTTAGAGTTATTAAAGATAAGCTAGAGGTTTGGAAAGGGGTTGGCTCCTCAAATAAGTGCAGCTTTATTTAACTAGTTGTCTCAAAGGAGCTATACTCTGCATTCCACTGCTGGTAGCAGTACTGATGTTTTAAGAATAATTTGCTGACAACCAAAGGGCACTATAAATTATTTTTTTAAGCAAGTTCCTCATATATTAGCCAGAAATACCAGTGTTATATTTTGTCAGTTTTCTGTCATAGTGTTTGTGGTATGACAATGAGAAATATTGGTAGCGTCAGTACACACATTATAAACAGCAATACTTGTCCTTTAGGGTTGCAGTCCAATGATGCAGTTTGGGATGAGAACTACCCATCCAAAATTTTATTTAAATAGGAGAGTGGTGATACTACCACACAGAACTAAGCAGGAAGGCCATGAGGAGAGAATTTAATGCATTTACTCTTTTTATTAAGGTGAGGAAAAGGAATGGAAGAAAATGTCCATCCACTTTTTGACAAAGATTTATGTAACCTTGAGTATCTCTGGCACCCTAACTTCCCCTGATAGCTAGTATTATCTTACTGTAAATAAGTATTAGAATGACTGAGAAGGCTGGTGTAGTTTTCTATTGTCTACTCAGTTGTGCAAACTGAGAATTAAAATAAAGGCTCTTGTAGAGGGAGATTCTATTTTATCTGAACACAAATTTTGGGTGGTACTGGATCAAATATTCCATTAATGTCCACATCTGTTATTCTTAGAAGTACTGTACCTTAAAAGGAGGCATAATTTCTATGATCACCTACATCCAATTAAATCCAGCAAAAATACCATCATAATCACGTATTCTTTTTTCTATTCTATTCTTTTTTTAATTTCTCCCAGGACTTCGGGCAATGTAAGATTATCATATATACAAGCCAGCTGCTGAAGAAACCTCAGCTATATGGATTTAATTGTACACTAAGTCCAGGTAAAATAACCACTGTTGTAAGCCAATGCATACCTCAAAGCAGCCCTAGTACCAAACTACAAGTCTGTGCACTACTAAGTGTATAGTAACTGTAACAGATTCATTCATCTGCTTGCAATTCATATTTTAGATAATTCAAATGGAATGTTAAGAATGAGTAATAGAATTAAGGTTACCCTACTCCTCCTAAAGCAGACTTTATTAATGTCAGATGATATTACCATTTGAGTCCACCAAAACATGATAATGAATATCAGAAAAAAAGTAAACTTGGAAAAAAATGCCTCTTTGAGGTGGTAAGATTCTAAGGAATCTTATTTGTGGAGAGAGGGATAGATATTTCACTTCCAAGGAAACACTTGCATTTCAGTTTGGCATTATGAGTTCACATTAAAGGCACATGCACACTCTCAAGAGTATTTACATTCATTGCAATATTAGTAAATTTTCTGTTTTCACAGTTCCTCCTGATTTATTAGAGTGCAAAGATTGTCCTGTGAAAGTTGAAGTCTTAGAAGTCACCGAGCAACATAAAAATATTGCTGCAAAGGCCCTGGAGAAATTCAACAGGGAGGGTAACCACACAAACTACTTCAATGTGGACAAAGTTGAAAAGATTTTAAAGATGGTAAGTGGCATTTTGTCCTAGAATTACTTACAACAGCAAATATTTGTGAGCAGTTCCAAAACCACGGGACCAGAAATCAAATCCTTCTAGGATCTGAACTATTGCTATAGACTGTTACCTCTCAGTATAAATCATCTGCTTCAAATTGAAGGTCCTACTTCTGCAAAAACTTGTTATCAACTTTTAATTTAGGCATGTGAAAGCAAAAGGATTTCTCATCTGCTAAAAACTATGGCAGTCTGATGGCATCCAAAAAGTCAGAGCCTTCTTTGTGTACATATTTATATTTTGAATGCCTATTTACCTATGATATCATAACATACAAGAGTTTACTTACTACTGGCCAGAGTTCTTTCAGATGTAGTCATGTGTATCACAGTCATACATTCTGTCAACTGAAGTCAGATAACTTTTTACTCTTAGAATATTTAGCACATGGGTGTAACACAAAGTGGAACACACTTGGCATCACTTTGACTCTGCTGCAGAGCAAAGCAGCACTCTGAGAGCTCTGAAGGACAGAAAGTAAATTTGTATCTGTGCTGTACCTCTTGAAGAACTACTGGCTCTGGTAAATAACACCTCCATCTTTTAGTGATGTTGACATGAAGACTTATTCTTTGGGCGATTTGAAGTATAACTCTCACATGACCAGAGTTTCTTGTTGGTAGATACTGGAGATCTTCACTTAAACAGCACAGGATCACTCTGTCAACACATGTGTCAGTTCAGGACAACTCTGTAATGAGGTCGCATGGCCTCTACCATAATACATGTCAATCTTGGAAACTGCCTAAATTATAGTGTGCCAACCCCACCTCCCTGCAGCTTTTAATATTGCTCAGAAACTTGACTGTTCTACACTGCAGTCCCATGCAGGCTGTATCCCTACTCCCATTTAGCAAGTGGTTGTTTTCAAATTGCCTGGAGTCATGGATTTCTCCCTAAATGCTCTGTCTTCACACTTTCCTGTCTTTAGCTACAGTGACAATTTAGATTGTACCACTGGATTTCAACAGACTGCATAACACTTAGAAACTATGAATTACGATCAAAAAATATACCATAAAGTACATACATCCACTTTTAACCAGTTTAGTTAAACCTGTGGAACTTTTGCAGACTGCATAACACTTAGAAACTATGAATTACAATAAGAAAATATACCATACATCCACTTTCAACCAGTTTAGTTAAACGTGTGGAACTTTTGTGTACACATTTGCTATGGATGCCTTCAACACAGACTTGAAATAAACTACTGGAAATTAAAATTAAACACCTCTTTATGGGTTTTAATAGGATGATCACAAAGGCCTCCTCCCATGTTCTTACGGAGTAACCGTACACATTTGCTATGGATGCCTTCAACACAGACTTGAAATAAACTACTGGAAATTAAAATTAAACACCTCTTTATGGGTTTTAATAGGATCACAAAGGCCTCCTCCCATGTTCTTACAGAGTAATGCCTTCTCTATTAATAATGCCACTGACAACAGAGAAAGCAACAATTTCACAATAACTAGCGGAATTTCACCCCAAATGAACATCAGCACTGTAGTACTATGCACTTCCATCACTGGAAAGGGGTGGTTGCCATCTAGTAGGTCTCTGTATTTTCACAGGTGCAGCAGTTCAATTTAGGGAGAAGACTCCAAGGACACTACTTCCTAAAAACACAGGCTGTAAAAGTAACAGGTTTTATAACATATACATACAGGACAAAGAAATAAAGTGACCATTTCTGGAACTCATAAAGGTGTGAAACAAGTAAGGTATAAATTATTACATCTGTTTTTCTTAATGAATCTGCATAAATGTATCAGCATCTGAACTGCATAGGTAACAAAAGCACGAGGTAGACAGGATTTTGACAACAATATGAAGTATGGTTGCTTTTAAAATTACAGGACTTTTAACTACACTTAGTTACCACTTCTTTTTTGATCTCTTTGTTTCAGACTGCCTCCCGTGAAGGTCACATTTTAGGATTCTCTATAAAAGAGACAAATTGTTCCAAATCTGCACAACAAGCAAATCAGGCATTGGAATGTGATTTTCTGGATGACTGGCATGCTGTAAGTAAAGTCTTAGAATGGAACTCATACAACGAGTGGCACCAGAAAGATCTTCCCACAGTATTTGCAAGTGTTTCTTATAAGCATGCACCCAAACTCAAAATTAAAAATCAAGCATGTCCAAGTCCAGATCCTAATTTTACAGCTGCTCCTTTTTATTCTACAAGGAGCCAATCTGAACTCTCAAATCTAAATGTAACTGGGGTCTGGCATGTTACAGACATAAAGCTGAGCTTTTCAGTTTGGATCTGGCTTTCACACTGAAATTGTGGCTATTCCATAGTAAATAATTCATTCTATTTTCATAAAAACTTTTACACTAACTTGAGCTATAGATCTTGAAAAAAAATACATGGATTATATCATTCCAGTGAGCCCAGGGTTACTTTTTTTTTCCTCTGCTGCAGAGGAATGGAGAGTGGAATAATTCAGGCTTCTCTGCAGATTACTATCAAAGTACTCTCCTCACCTCACTTTCCCATTACAATAACAGTGAACATCAAAGAAACAACTAGACAAGATGATAATTTCAGAATAAATTATTCTCCATAAACAAAACTTATGGAATGAAATAAAAATATGGGAAAAATAAAACACATAGAACTTTCAGTTTATCTACATCCATTTTCTTCTCTGACTCTTTATACTCCAGAAGACTAGAAAAGGTTGTGAATGAACTGGTAGTGGAGCCAAAAGTTCACTAGAATGAAGCACAAGCCAGATAGCTAGAGGTTTTGAATTCTGTTCTCAATGCTGGTACTACTGGTGTGTGTGTGTGAAATGCTATTAACATTTGTAATCATTGATCATAAAAGGCTACTAATGGCCCAAACATATATCAAGATAAAGCACCCACTACAGAGAGCACACACAGAACCTCTTACCCAAGTTCTGTGCTCTTTCACACGAGCAACTCCATACACAACGACTGGACAGGAGGTGAAAGTCACAGCAAACATGATACTAAGGGGAGTAATGCTGAAAGATTACAACAAATTACTTTTCAAAAAATAAATACGAAAAAAAGCTCTACCTCAAGCTTTGTCTGAAAGAGCACAGCTACACAGTGTCTGGTTTTGAGGACTTTGAGCAAAATTTCAGGATGTTTGTCAAGCAAAGACAGAAAAAAAGGAATAAAAATCAGTCACCCAAAAGGTGCTTATTTTGGAAACATCAGTAGCTGACCAACTTCTTGCAGATATCAAAAGAGAAGTAAGATGGAGAGTGGTAGCCCTCTAGATGGGCATAGCTAAGTGGTCTTCACAGTCACGAACATTCAAAAGTGGCATATATTTTAACCATTATTAATCACTGGCAAGTATCACTGGTCAGAAAGCTCAAGATCTAACTAAGTTACATAAACATACTTAGATATCAAAGGAACTAGCCTAACTTTAAAAAGTTGATCTTTCAGCACCTTCTATTAACTCCATCACAGACCCCAGATGTGCATTGTTGTTTTTTTATTTTCTTTTGCTTAGCATGTGGGATTCTGCAAGGCAAGAATTATAAGTCATCCAGAGGAACCTGATGGAACAGATATAAACTGTGAAATCTACCATCGTTGGGTATGTACTCACTCACTGAAATGTCTCTGGCTATAACTTAATGCAAGTTACACCAGCCTCACTTAGTCCAGATTGACAGGTGACTGCAACGGTTGTTCATGCCCCTTTATTACTGCCTGGGTGGGAAGCAGCATGTTGGATAGACTGGCTTTTGACTGCTAGGTCAATCAGAGGATACATTAGAATTGAGCTGTCCCTACTACTCCCTCCAAGGGTGTCTTCTCTCAGTCCAATCATACTTCTTAGTTCAAGTGAGTAAAGACTGGCAAACAAGTTCAAAGGAATTTTAGAAAGCACGAGGAGGGGAGATGATCTTTATCACATTTGGTATTCCAGCCACTCCAGTGTGGGTTTTATTTTGTTTTGATCCATCACAAACGTTGCTCAGTTGGTTATATATATTATTTCATTTTGTTACAGTGTGGTATTTCCAGATAATTTTCAGTAATTTGGCCCTTTATCATCTACTCATTCTCTTCTACCTTGAAGAAAACAGTTTGGGTTTTTTTCTTACAGATCACCAGAACTGTAAATGCAAACCTACTAACTCCCATCTCTCTCTCTCTCTCACCCCTTTCTTCTGTCCTATTAACATCTCACTTAATACTTCCTCCCCTGGTGTTTTTATGAACAGCAGCATGACCATGGGCAAAGATGCAAACATTCAACTCTAGGACACCGACACAGACATCCCCATCATCATTTTGGTCACAGACATCGCCACAGACACCATCACAGACATCATCACAGGCATGGATGTCCACCCTTTTCTCAACCCAGACCTGAAGACCCTGAGCATAACCATAGCTTCAATGAAGAACATCAAGACAGCCATGAAGAACCTGCTCCTCCTCCCCACAGTGGACCACATCAACACCTTCCTCCTCCTCCTCCCCATGATGGACCACATCCTCCTCCCCAAGAGGAACCACAACCACCCCCTTCTGTTCCTCCTCCCTATGAGGCACCACATCCTCTCCTCCAAGAGGAAGCACAATATGACCCTTCTGCTCCTTCTCCCCATGATGAACCACATAATCCTCCTCTTCATCCCCATCATGGACCACACTGTCCTCCTCCTCCTCATGGACCACATCACCACCATCCACCTCCCCACTGTGGACCACACTGTCCTCCTCCCCCTCCTCATGGACCACATCACCACCATCCACCTCCCCACTGTGGACCACGCTGCCCTCCTCCCCCTCCTCATGGACCACATCACCACCATCCACCTCCCCACTGTGGACCACATCACCCTCCTCCTCCAGGACACCCTCCTCATCTCTGTCATCACTATTACAGACATCACTGCAACAAGACAAGTATATCAGGAAAGTACTCTCCATTCCAAATAACAGGAGCTCTCTATCGCATTCCAGTTCTAAACCAGCAGGATTCTCTCACACCTCCCACTGCAAACTTTCCTGAGCTATCCCAAAGCAACCCCCACTCCTCCAGCACTGCTGAAGGTATTCCCTTCACCGGCTCAAGTCTAAAGGAGATGCTAGAAGCTCTGAGTTTTCCAGATCACCCTGCAGAATCAAAGTCATGCCCGGGAAAGCCCAAACTTGTTCTTCCAAAAATTTTGCCTTTATTTCCACATAGCTCCATGGCAGAAAATTCTCCTCCATGACCTCAGAGAAAGATGTTCCTGGCTTGAGACTTGAAAGCCAATGACAGTTGTACAATGAATGAAGAAAGCACATGGAGAAGGGAAGAAAGCATACAATTTCTAGGGAGGAGAAGCACTGAAAATAATAATTAAGACAAGTATTCCAACCTGCCCCTTGATCCCAGCTATCTCAGACTCCACTGTAACTGAAAAGCTCAAAATTCAGAGTCCCTCAGATAATATGAGCTGGTACAAATCTCCCCAGCTTACAATGCTCCTTTAGTTCTAACAAAAAGGAAAACTCCCTAATAGTGAAAACTAACATCTAAAATATTTAATCTTCTCATAATTCATAATTATAATGTACTTCTCTAAAGAAATCTGACCTAAGGAAATTTCACTGCCTTCCATGAAAAAATGATCTATGATTCTGTGATATTCATGCTTTATAAAGATTCAAAGAAAATAAAAATATGCAAGCATTTTTCTTCCAGACACAGCTGCAAGGTTTTGTCTTTTTTGTTCCTACGGATGTTTAGCTGCACAGCAAACACCCAAGAGGCATCCTCCAGCGTAAATAGACTAATGGTGGTTGGATTACCACCATTATCTAGAAAAGGTCTGAGAACAGTTAATGACTTGCAGAGTAACACTGCAGGGTGGCCTGCACAGGTACTTCCATTGCTACGGTTGCTGCTGGTGACACTCCAGAAACACTGTGTTCAAGGACAGCCCTTCTCAAATAGTTCATAATTGCTCTCAGGGGACGAGAAAAGTGGATGCAAGTAATAACTCTTTCATATAGATGTTTTCTTTATCACTAAAGTTTCCTCACTGAAAACTGAATTGGGAGGAGCAGGAAGAAAGAATACTGGTGTCTCTTTAGCCCCCACCAATGTCCTTTCAGACAAATCTGGGACCCCAATGAGTTAGTTCAGAAGAGTTATCTCATAGCAAGAACATGGTATTAATCTCAAAAAAATAGTAATTTGGTCCTCAAAGAGCTTTTTAATGGCATAAAGTAAAACACAGTGTGAGGGCTACACTGAAGAAAAAGAAACAAAATGAGAATAGCATTTTGTATAACTGAGTGAAAGTTGTCTAATTTTTAAAAGTGCGTTACCTTGTACAAACAACCTGGCATAGTTTATCCACAAAATCTCTACAGTGCATTTTCTTTAACCAAAACTTGTAGCAAGACTCAAGTGGAACACTGGAGCTGAGGCAATCCCAAGGTGTTCACAAATTCAAAGCAAAGCTATTTGGTGCTCAGCACTGGAGACAAGCACCAGATGTTCCCAGTCAGCTCTAATTCTGGCTTTGCCAGACACAAGCAACATTACTTAATCCCTTGCTCTTGGGTGTCACTGTCCCCATCTGTAATGATAACAAAATATTATGAAGACTGACTCAGCCATGGTCCAAAGGCAGCCTTCACATGGCAGCAAAGATGGATGCTTCCCATAGTAGTGTGAAGGACAAGGTTTATCAAGTGTTATGGAAGAGTTATGTGACATTCAACTATATGCATCTGTCCAAAGACTTTTTTTTCCAAACATGTTCTGACTTCTTAGAACAATGCAGTCTGAACACTAAATAGATCTATAAAATTTACAGGGTTGTTGTCCAGAACCAGAACTTCATTGCCACTGTGACCTTCTTGGATGTTTTATTTAAGCCTTCTAAAATTCATTCTCAGTAGCAGTTTAGATGTTAAGAAAAGAAGCCAGAAAGCTACAAACATTCTGCTTTCTCTTTTGCTCAGGGGCCATCCTGCTCAGTCTAAACCTATCCCCAGCTGCAGCCATTTAGCCTGTTATCTTGATGGCAGGTGGATAACCTTAGTGTCATTCTGGTGACCACACAAAGTTTATTTAGATAAACTCAGAGTTTATTTGCAGTATAAACAGGGTATGATGAGAACTAACCAACCCCAGCTACCCACTCATTCTGTTTACTTAGCTATTGCTCCTGAAAAACAGCAGAGGTGACTAAAACCCTGTCAGGCATTCCTTTTCCATTTGGTTTTTAAAGAGCCTTCTAATTCAAGGGGCCTTTTTGTCCAATTATGAAACCTTTCATTGTACTAGTACTCTGCTGTAGCTTTTTCACTAGCAGAGCCACCCCTCTTCCATTTGAGTTTTTGGACTGTGATGACCCTGATGTCTTTAAAGCTGTCGACACAGCACTGAAGAAATACAATGGAGACAAAGCAACTGGTAATCAATTTGCTCTATACATGGTGATGGAAGCCAAGAGAACTGTAAGTAGACTTTGCAAAAAATAAAAAAAATTGGAATTGTTTATGCACTCTGAGTCAGATTATCTCCATCTCGTTCATAAGAGAGCAAGCACGACAGCAAAGTGTCTTCCAAAAACGTTTTAAAAAATCAAAGGAATGACTTGCACAGTAAGATACTCGTTACCATGACAAGCAGGGATGTATATTATGTTATTATCAACGGAACTATGTGTGCTGATGAATTGCTTATTAATGCAAGGACTAAAGAATAGAAAATTTCTATCACTAATACAATTTGTCTTAGTAATCCACCCTGTTTTCTCCTTTATCTGTTGGGAATTTTAGCTCTTTCCATCATCAGTAAGGTTTTCAGATCAATGGCAAAAACATACTAAAAAACCTGAATATTATCTTGACTTGGGAAGAGCTGGTATCACACATAAAAAAGAATGAACTGATAACATTTGACAATACTCTGAAAAAACTGTTTGTGAATATTATTTGATTGACACTAGTCCTGAGTCACAGATCTATCTAAAAGCACTAGGAGGTATTTTAGTCAAATAGGGCGACAGCTAAAATTACAGAAGAAAAAAAGAATGAAACATGATCCTTTGCCTGGAGTCCTGCTGTATAGTGTTAATCTAACAAAAGAGTATTTACCTCTGAGAGGCGTACAAAGATGATATTACCATAATAATGACAAGCATTACTTTACTTGAAAACAGCATTAGCATTTTTTTCTGGTGGATTGGATTTTCAGATGTAAAACACAAGAAACCCAATGTCAGAAAGAATATTTTGCACTCCAAAATCACAAGACACTTTTACCCAGATAGAAATTGGCATCAGAAAAGGGATGTGAATTGCTAAATGCCTTACGGTAAACTATCCACATCTCCTGGCACCCATCCTCTGGTTTTCCTGTTTTCAAACTGGGGAGATATTAGCATGTAGTGACAAAGACTAAAATCTTGCAAACCCTTTATACAATTAATACTAAACAAATTAATAATCCTGCTATCTCCACTGAACCGCATACAACCTTAACAACAGCCAAATGCAAACTTCTTTATATCACAGCTGTAACACCACCCTGCTTTTGCTGATGTTCCCAAAGGACCGATATTAGTTTCAGTATTTTCTCTTAAACAATGTTCAATTTTTAAGAATACATATTTATTGCATATATTATTCATCTTTCCTTCTCTAGATATCCATCTTTCCTTTTCTTAGAAAATCTGAGGTGGAAATCAATTATTACTTTGAATCATTGATCTGACTATGATGTTGAGTAAAAAACAGAGAAAAGGAATCTGCAAGAGATTTCCTCATATTCGATATTCTTTTTCTAAAAGGAGTATAGATTTTACTTATCACTAGTCTCACAATGTTGAATGCATTAATTAAATAGCTAGTTATTACATATTCATGTACATTCATTATTGATAAGGTAATAAAACATAAACCTTGACTGGTGAAAGACTGAACCTTCCCCAGTTAAAGGCATAGCTGTTCATAATATTAATAAAATAAACCAACAACAAATAACATACAGAAACAATGGGTTTTTTTCTCAGGTATTTCATTTACTCACTAAGCTGATTTATTGCAGATTTAGAATAGTGTAACAGAGAAAAGAATTTGTCTCTTTTTAAGTCCACATCCCAGATAGTATAATCTGATGCAGCTCCATAAATGTCACTTTATACCTGCTGAGGATTAAACCATTATATTTCAGAGACCCTTTTACCCTCTTTTACAACCTGCAACCGTTATATCAGGTACCTCTACAGCTCTTCGTAGCTGTAGCAATACACAACAGGAATTGAGAGAACACAGAACGTAATTCTGTACCTACACCAGCGTAAATCCAGTATATTTCACCCATGCCAGATCAGTTTCGTTTTCTTGATACCACTAAGACAAGAATTATCATTTAATTCTCCCAGCAGTATCATTCCAGTGTTAACCAGCGTTAAAGTACAGCAATTGCCTGGGTTTGTATTTGAAACGGCACAATGGCAAAGCATTTTTAGTGGCTGTAAAGATTAGTAACTTCTGGCTTTATAGCTCTTCTAAAGGATGAACCACAAACCTTGCAATGTGTTAATGTTGCCTGTAGGCACAGGCTCACTACTCAGTTTATGGCAAGGAGAAAATGCCCCCTACTGATTTACCAACATCAGAAACACTTCCACTGGCCAGGCCAAACTTTGCTTAAGATTTTGTCTGTATCTCATCTTATGGGAACCCTTGTGAGCAGCTCAGCCTTTAATGCCTATAGGAAAACTACAGGCAGTGCCAGAGGCTGTCTCTGGGGCGTATGCCCTCCTCACTGCTTTCCCCAGATTAGGCAGGGCAGCTTAAATACCCTGTTACCACAGAGTGAAGGCAGTTTGGGCTCTGCCAGGCTGCCTGAGGGTTGCTGGCTGCTGTTCCTGGGCTGCCTGTAGAGCTGTACAGAGGGAAAGTAGACAGATCTGGGAGGAGGCCAAGAGTGAGAGTGAGGGAGTCAGACAGGAGCATGGTCCAAGCTAGTAATTATGCTAACTACCCAAGCAGCAACCCAAATTTGTTTATTTGGAGTATGTTTGAATACGAGTATAAAACCTAACTGCTTCTTTCTGGTTTTGAAACACTTGGTACTACAAGTTAAAATGAAGGTAGATGAGCATACTGTAACTATTATATCTACATGTTGTAATTGTAGGTAAGGGCTTAGGAATATAATATAGATAAGTTAATTACTGAACTACCAAGATCTGGGAGACCTTGCATGGAGACCAGTAGCTAATTTGAAACTATACTATAAAACAGAAAGATAACCAATGGAGGGTATTTACCTTTTGAAGCTCTTATCTTTTCACTTGATTTATCACTATGTGAATTACGACATGCAATATGTTTTTAACCAGGCAGGTCCTGACACACCATTCTATGTGAAATATCGAATACATGAAACCATTTGTGCCACTGAGGAGGAAAAATTCTGGCAAGACTGTGATTACAAAGTACCTGCAGAGGCTGTAAGTATCTGTCCTCTTTAAAAGTTCTCCGTACAGAAACATCAGCATAATGACCAGGACTGCAGTTGCCTGGGGAAAAATACAATATAGTATTTAACTTTTTTAGCTATGTTGCTTTTGAGAGTTTATAGGACTAAAGTACAGAAATGTTTATAACTCTAAAGTTAATCATTATAATTATGTGTTTACCATTATAATCCTGAATATGTGCAGAAGGGAATATTTCAGTGTTTTAATATGAAGGTTCACAATAAATTAAAACTAAGATACATGCATTGAGAGAGTGTGAGAGCTGTAAAACTTTTTATTAATTATGTATAATAGAAACTTGCACAACCAAATTGACTTCAGATCTGTACCAACAAAAATACTGACATGGAAGCCACTATGGTAGAAAATTTACCAGAAGGCTTAGAAGTGCAAAGCATGTCTGGCTCATGCTCTTAAGCTCACCTAGAGGAGGTACAATCGGGGCACACATAGTGTGCAGGATCACTGCACCTTTCCAGATTTCCAGGGGAAGTCAGTGTTATTTTAGAGTACCCAATGCAAAGAAAGGGATGATGGTGATAATATAATTTGAATCAATGTGAAATGCCATGGTTATTGCTGCGTATCTTGTACTAGCAGAGATGAAATTAGGTAAATACACAATATGTACAGACTTTATTTATGAGGATGAGTTCATATCCATTACTCTGACTGTAAATTCTTTAGTTAATTAATACGCATCCATCATGATACAAAGCAATCATTCAAATTATCTGCTCATTTCATCCCCTACTCTCCTCACAATCAGCAAAACCATGCCTTTTCCAGTAACAAAACAGCAAATTAGACATTACTACAATGTACAAATGAACTTGTTCCCCAAACTCGATTTGCAACTGTCAGCTTTGTTCAATAACTAGAGGAATATACAGCACCGTATTTTCCTTGAGCAAGTTTAAGACAAATGTTGTGATATGTTTTTGCAGAAAACAGGAGAATGCACAGCTCGAGTTCACATGAATAACGATGAACAAACAAGTAATGTTACCCAAGATTGCAAAATTTTTCCAGGTATGTAACTGTTTGGGGCAGCCTTCAACAAATATGTTGACAAATAAGTATGGGAAAAATATAATACTGAGACTTTCAGGTAATTTTAAAGGTAGGGGCTCCTTATCATTCTACTCAGACATTTATAAATAATCTTCCATATGCAACTACCTGTTAAAGATAAAATTTCACTTCACTGTTATACACATATAGGCTAAGTCAGTGAAGCACTGGCAGTTTCTCTCTAGGGTAATGAAAACCAGCACGTGTGTGTATAGTAAGTTTCTTCAAACACTGGAATTATACCAAGGTAAAATGAATTTGCTTGAGACCAAAAGCATATCAGTAACTTAGACATGAGATAAAACTTGTCACTTTAATTTTCTATCCTTACTTATTCAAGTATAAAATTGTGCAAGAAATTATTAGAAAAAAATCTTTGAATGACAAAATTGAACATTAATTTTCTCCAAATTAAAAAATGACTAAATGATTTCTGTTAAAATTTACCAAAACAAGTATTTACCCTCAACTGAAAAGAGAATTAAAAAAAAGTTCATTTACAAAATGAAAATATAGCAGTTATGTAATCATCTAAGAGAGAGTCTGATATCTTTTAGACCTTAATAATAAGCAATACTATATTTCTTGCCTATAAGGCACTCATATACGACTCTTATGTTCACATAGTAATTTCCTTTAGTAGAAAAAGATCACATTGGTTTAAAGCTTTGCAGCTGAGATCTCCATGTGCCTGTGCCTGTTCATGTAAGACATATTCAAGCTAGTTTTAAAATATCCATCTAACTGGTAGCAGAGAGCTAAGTGCATATTAACTACAAACATTTACCATGATTTCCGAGATGTTTGTCAGCTTATCTTTGTTTTTTCATTCCTAGTTATCTCGCTTAAAGCTTAAACGGCTGTATCTACAGCCAGTGTCCTTCTAGGAACCGCAGTACACACAAACTCCATGTTCTGCTACTGAATAAACGCTGCTTGGTTTAGATGCATTTGTAGGGCAATGGTGACACCTAGTTGCCAGTAAAAGGTAAATGAATCCCAGAGAGAATGCACGCGAAATTTGCATTTGAATCTTTGCTTAGAAAGCTAAAAAAATTTTCATAAATTAAATGAATCATGTATTCAGTCCAAGAAGTTAATCTCTTCTTACCAAGTTATAGTAACTCTGAAAAAAAGAATACACATTTGTTCAGCACTTATGAAAATGCTGAGACCACAGTCAGTTCAGAACAGGGTGCACTGCTGTTTTATTATCTCCTTTGTGATTACTCCCTGAAAACATAGTCACGTTTTTTCTGTAACGTGTATATATTTGTCATTACTGAGTCAAAATAAGTGACGCTAGAAATACAAAGGGCCAGACTTTGTTCAAGCACCCCCGGAGGGCTAAGACTAAATAATATTTCTTACACCGAGATACTCCCAATGTACAGAGGAGCCAAATCAAATCCAAAGGATTCAAACAGAAAGAGTGAAACGATAGACTCTAACTGGTGAGGGATTTCCCCACCATGTTGGGTACCATACTGTTGGTGGAACAGTTTGATCATACTGACCCTGGACTGGTTTCCCAACTGGTGCAAGCTGGCATAACTCCATTAAAGCCAGTTTATGCCAGCTGAGGATCAGGCACACAAATTTTACTTTAATTCCACGGAGACCACATAGTGTCCTACTTTCATTCTCAGGCTCACTGAATCATGAAATTAATTTATGTACTGAACTATAAAATTAATTTATGAAAATCCAATCCATGATTACTAGAAAGGAAAGAGAGTTAATAGGATTAGTAGTAGGAAACAGAAGTTTGAGCATTCCCGTCAAGCTTGTCTATCCACAGCCAATCCAGTTGGTAAAGCCGGAAGGTAACACCAAGTGGTAACTGGCAGCCACAGTGACTAGCAGGGGGAGTCCAAAGAACACAGCAGTAGAACAGTTCAACTACAGTCCCTAAGGAGCTCAGAGTCAGAGCAGTTCACATGGGTGAGCCAAAACACTCCTGCCAAAGTCCCCATCCTGAAACATGGTGAGGACAGCAAGCAGCTGCGCACAGTGGGTGAGCTTTGAGAATCTGAAGAACATCAGAACTACAATGGAGTTGTCACCTCCATTGGCTCTTCCCTGACTGAATGAGGGATGACCCTTCCTTGGTGGTATCAAAACTACATGCGAAGTTTTTCAGAAATTTAATGACTCCTGAACTCACTAATTTCTCTGAATGAAACTGCTGAAACCATGCCTAGATTCTAACATCATGGATGGCCCCTACCACCACAAACCAAAGCATGTTTCTAAATACAATTAATGTCTTTGCAGGCCCTGAAACAGAAACGTAGGGTTTGCTGATCACTTCAGTTAAAATCAGGAAAGGTTCTTGCTCATTGAACCTTTTCTCTTGTTCCCAGATAGGGCTTCATGTAGAACAGCCTCAGGTTTTAATTTTTCCTATGTTTTTTGGTTTGTTTCTTTTCCAGCTACACCAAAGATAACACTTACTGAGGCTCCGTGTCTTGGATGTTTTCATCACATATCAAGTGACAGTTCAAAAGTGACTGAAATTCTGAAACAAGCCATTCACAAGTTTAACAGGCACAGCGCTGAACCTGCCCTTTATAAGCTTGTGGAAATAAAAGAAGCTAAGAGACAGGTTTGTGTATGATTTTTCTCTGAATTTTACAAAAAACAACCCCCAAACTATGTACCTTGGTTGTTTTGTGTACACGTTTCTGATTATAAGGTGGCTTATATTTAATAATAAAAACATATGAAACGTATATAGAGTGTAGACCCTGTAAATAATTCTCTTCATTTATAAGGAATCACAAACAGTTACCTACTGGATTTTCAGGGCTGTTAATTTTACAAACTGATAGTAAATATTTTTTTTCTTTATCTGAAGTTGCATCTAACCAGTGTTTAGCACCAGTTTATTTGCGCTCAGTGCTGACACAGGCATCTTGTATTGTCTCAGATGCTCTCAAGTATTCCAGTTGGCCTCTCCCTGAAGCTCCAGAAGGAGCAGATCTCTCCTAGGTTCTGTGCCAATCCAGCCAGCCTGCACAGATGTCTCATATATTCTACAGCCTCTGAAACAGCAGCAGGCATCTATGTTTTTGCAATGCAATAGGGCCCATATGTCAGCAGCTGCTATATGTTATAGGAAGGGTAAACTACATATAGGCAAAATGGGTAAGAAAAACAAAAAGCCAGTATGCCGCTTGCTAAAAGATTTCTGCACACAGGAATATCTGCTTTGAAAGAAATGATGTGGTCACAGAAATTCTGTGTCATCTGGTATTCCACACACAGTGTATTCCACACACAGTGTATTCCACACTAGTATGATGTTGCTAAAAAGTAGTTTCTTATTTGTTTTTTAACTAGTATATAACCTGACACCAAATACAGACTTTTTTCTTTGAATGTGTATGCATTTACTTAGCCAAAAAACATCTTCTGGTCTCATGTCAGTTTGACCCATGATTTAATTCAGACTGTCCTCTTTCTATTTACTAAGAGGATGGCAACGATCCTCTTAGCTAAAAGACAAGCTTGCACAGCATTTAAGCCAGATGACAAATACCACAAACAGACTGCAATCCAGCAGCCAGAAAGAGAGCCAGCATGTAAATTCCGGCCAACAGAGCCTAGTCAGAGCCTTCCACTTTGATCTGGGATGGAAAGATCTTATATTTGATTCTTATTTCCCCTTTTTAATCCAATGCTACCTGACCCAACACTGTGAAACAGGGAGATTTCATGAGTCAGAAGCAGTAGCCACAGTAAGGAAAACTGAACTGCTTCCTGGAGAAAAATGAAAAAAAAGGGTCACAAATCTGGACAAAACAGTGGGTGGAGGAAGGTAAAGACCAAGGCAGACACAGTTGTAGGTAGATGATAAATGCAGGACACTCAATAATAAACGATGCCAGCAGTATAAAGTTACATTAGTCAGATACTGTTTTACTATGTCCCATTCTCAGGAACATAGGACTTGCCAAGCTGTATTAGTGTAGTCATCTATCTAGACCAGCATCCTGTCACTGGGAGTAATAAGTAACAGATACTTTGGAGGAAAGTGCAAGAAACCAAGTGTTATGAGTCTGCAGGCTTGCCAGGAGAAGTGGAATTCAAATACAAAGTGCACTTCTAATAAATGCATGACTTAGTTTACTTTTTGTATCACCAGGACAAGATTTTTTTCACAGTCCAGGAATACCCTAGGTTCAATGACTGCAAAGTGATTTGATGGTTGGAAAGCACTAGAAGATTAGTTTTGCTTTCTCTGCTAATCACATTTAACAGTTTAACTTCCAAGTTTGTATTGTTTTACATGATGTGTCACCTAAATATCTGTTCCAGGTGGTAGCTGGATGGAATTATGCAATTAAATATGATATTGAGGAGACTAATTGCTCCAAAGACCAATTTCAAGATTTAACTCGAGAGTGCAAAATCACTTCTAGAGGTGTAAGTAATCTTCAAAATCTGTTTATCAAGAAAATACCATATTAACAAATAATCACTGAGATCTGACTCAAGAAAATATTTATAGTCTTGCTTCACTTTGTGAACGAAGTTTAAATCCGGGCTTACAGATAACTGTTTATTTGTGCAATTAGAACACTCATGTCTTCTCCTGAATCAGTGACTAGGATGACCACTGAAATGTTTACAGGTAACTCTATGGATTCTAAACAGTTTCACCCAAATAATAACTTCTCCCTTGAGAAGCTCCTATCCAGATATTCAAGGAGTTACTCAGGTACCACGCAAAAAGCAATAATTAAAATTAGCACCATTTTTTCAGCTTAAAACATATTTTATAAGTAAGTAGCCAGATTATTACTTAACCTCTACCACAGTCCAAATAAGAGAGCTTCAAAATAAATTTACCAATAAACATACATACTCTAGATACTCTAGCTAAACACTGCTGCAAAACCAGGTACTACCTTGGCTTCTCTGACCTGGAAGAGAATTAACTGTAGCAAAAATAAGAGGGTTGCTCCCTCAACCAGCCTCCCTGAACCAGCTCACCAGGGAGTGAAGCAAATGCTTCTGCAAATACCAGGTAGAGGGCAGGTACATAGAGTCATAACAAACAGTGGTGGCAAATGGGAAGGGAGGAACCACAAAGTCCTGACTTGCATCTGCTTCAGCTGTTGTGGAAGTGCACTGTTGAGTGTGACATTGAAGAGCCTCTCCTGTTCAAAAATTACTCATTGGATGTCTCAAGAATGTTTCAGAATATTTCAGAAGCATTGATCAAAAAAGGAAAGAATGAGAACACAGTAGTAAACAGTAGGAGGGTGAGAATCAAACCAGCTGAAGTAAATCTCTCCATTATCCCTACCCACCCGTAAACCTTCAGCTCATTCACATACTGCTTTGATCAAGCAGGGTTTGTGGGATTGGATCTTTATCACTTATCCCCTGAACTGTTAAGCAGCCTTGCTAATGTCAACATATATTATTAGAATATGATATTCCACGAATATTCCATACCTTGGAATGACCAAATTCCACAGAAGTTGTTTCATACCTTTATTCAGCTCTTTACTATTAATTTTGAAATGGAAGATGAGAATTACACCCTGTATTTGACACGCATGTGAACCACAGAGCTATAGTGGGGCACAACGTCATTCTTTCTAACCCCGATAATAAGTCTTGACTTTTTTTTTTTTTTTACTTTTTCTAAACCACTACTAAGCAGATTTTTTATGGATGACATTTTCATGTATCTGTCATAGCTGTAAGATCTTGATCTTTAATTCTAACAGTGTTTCTTATTCTACAGTTGATTGTTTCCTTTAGAGTCCTTCATAAGGGCCTTCACCAAAACCTTTCCGAAAATCTGACCTTATCAACAGGTCTCTTTACCCACTTTTGTTGATGCTTTTGAAGGAGTCTGACAAATCTGCAAAACAAGACTTCTGCTTACAACAAAAAACACGGTCTCTCCTTGATGTATTCACGTGCCCCAGTTCTTTCCTTATTACCATTTCTAATCACTTGAATGGTATAGACATCAGTTTTATAGGTCTATAACCTTTTTAAATCAGAACAGGATCAACACCTGCTTTCTTCCAGCCCTGAGATATCAAGGCAATTCTAAGCAAGTCATCTACCACAGTTCCTTTGGAACACCTGAGTAAACACAAGAAACTCAATAATGTTTGATTTGTTAATTGCGTAATCTTCTTTTTGGTCTTTAGAGTTTGAGACAGAAATTTCAGTGAGTTCTCCATAAAAGAGGATTCTGGCTTGTAAACCTCACCATTTCCTGCTGTAGTGAACACATACAAATAGTTCATTTAGCTTCTCTTTTATGGTTTTATTTTCTCCGAGTGGTCCTTTTGAACTCTGATCATTTATTGGCTCTGCAGACTATCTGTCAGGCTTCTTGCTCACAGTATATTGAAGGAAGGAATTATTAGTAGTATGCTTGACTTATTCTGTTAGCAGAAAGGTATTAGGATGTGAGCCTGTTCGTTATTTACAACTAATAAGGAGTTGTTTTGGGTTTTTTACTCCAGCGTGTAGGTGAATGTGAAGCCAAAGCATATGAAAACCTTCAAGCACAGATCATAGATATTGCAAGCCAATGCAAGCTTCCAGGTATGTCACAGGCACCACCAGTTTTAAAAGTTCTGCAATTTTCAATGCTTTTTTATACAATTGTAAAAAAAGACAAAATAAAAATGTAAAAGATGAAAAGAGATAATAACAAGAGAAAGTCATTATTCTGGGACCAAAAAAGCACTGCTTCTTAATGAAATATTACCATAGATTTTTTTTCACTTCTTGCAAGTATTTCATATGCAGCTGAAAGTCACGTTTTAGCCTTTTATGCTGCCCTATTTGTATGACATGGAGCTGGTTCCTGGCTCATTTGGAGATTAACAGATACAAACTCAAAGAGTATAACTGTCCTACAAAAATTGATGCCTTTTCCGCCACAATGACAAGTAAGTTAATATCCTATTGTTTAAATAAGTAACTTCTAACTTTCTGAAGAGCTCCAATGTATTATTTAAATGGCAAAGGAGCTGAAGACTTTAAGATTTTGCCCAAAATTTTTAATTCACCTATTAATACTATCATTGTCGTGGCTATACTTACATTTGATATGCTAGAAGCTTGTTTTTTCCCTAGCAAATAAATTACTTAGAATTTATAAGTTCATTACACTCAAAATTCCCAAATAGTTTTCTTATCATTACTTTTTCTTCCAGCCATCTACTTTCTACTTGGACATAGATTACCTCAGCTCCTGAGCTTTAGAACAGGGAGTACAGTACTACTCCATGTAGTAAGTGCTGCATTCTCACCCATTTGGACTTGATTTTCTTCAAGAAATGATAATTATATTCTTCAACACACTCATTCATTGCCAATAACATGCACCTCTTGTTTCACCTGACTCAGATCCTCCCACAGGTGTTCCTTCTCTTTATCTGCTAGCTCCTCACAACTGGTACACACAGTTCTTGTTTCTATAAGAAAACTGTTAAGTGTTCAATGTGACACTAGGTGCTGATGCAGTGCTCCTTTAGATAACCAAGATATGATAACGCTGATCATGTAAAACTCAAATATTTTGGTTTTATTTGATAGACCCAAATACAAAGCATTCCAGAAAGTAGAGGTTTAGAACTAACTGCTTTTCGCAGCCTTTATCTACATTGAATCTTTTGTTCCTTAGATCTGAAATCTGTTGGTTTCTTTCAGTTGCAGACACGGTAATTCCTGCCACTCGCACTGGTTGTCGAAAGACTATCCCAAAAGACAGCCCAGAATTGAAGGAACTACTGAAGGTTTCTATGGAGAAGTATAATTCAGAGAGCAATGATGATTTCTACTACAAAAGTGGAGAAATAAAAGCAGCGACAGTTCAGGTTGGGATATACCACAGAGATGAGGCACAGGCAGTGCAGTGTTATTGATCTGAGGGGAATGTTAGCTAAACTTTGTATTTAGATTGGAAATAATGTTTCTGAAATGTAACTGAAATATCCACACAATTTCTCTTGCAAAATTTTACTCATCTTGGCTTGTATTCGGAAGTTATTTTAAAATCTCATATCTCTCCATTTTTTTTTTTTTTAATTTTTCTTAAACCAACATTATTTTAAATGCATGGGGAAAAGGTTGAATTATGGTATCTGATTTCTGTATATCCACCCCACTTTTTACAAGCCTTTGTAACATACCTTAGACTTTCAAAGTAGAAAAGTAGAAACTGCCCACTTGATCCACCACACCAACACTCTGTATATTATTTTACTGTCCACCCTACAGTAGTTATAAGCTCCAAGAAATGGAGCTTAATTGGCTTCCCAATTTCTCTTAGAAATCTGTTAATTTATATACTGAGACTGCTGCTAATAATACTGCAGCTACACTCACAAGAGAGTATCTGTGCATAACTTAAGAGGTACAGACAAATACAACTGAATAAAGAACAAAGAATCAAGAGGATAATACTGGTCAGCATTTGCATTTTCCTTGTTTACTGTCCCAACATATCAAAACAGAGGTTTAGGACAGAATTTAAAATAAGACAGTGGAGTCGTTCAGAAACTACTTTGTCAACAATTTTTCCTGAGCATGAGGGGTGCCACTGGAGCAGACACTAAAAGCACACTAGAGTTTTTCTGAATAGCTCATGTTACCTTACTGATAATATCTGTGCTTTTCCTTCTTTTAAACCTTTTTTCTTCTTTCAAACTTTCTTCTTCTTTCTCATTTTTCATATCATTATTTATATTAGCATGCATACATTTTAAAAACAGACTTAAAAGAGACAGAATTTAATGTCTTGCATCTTGGTGTCTGTAAAAAACAGTAAGAGAACTCATACCAGGCACATTCTTGAACCCATACAGTTTCTCTCCTTAATGCATTTAGCAAATATGTTCATTCTCAACTGAGCCTGCTCATCACACACTTCATTTTACTCACATTCCACTTTTCTTACATCATATTTGGCTCTCTCCAGTGGTGTCTCTAATGATTTCATTTGTTATTAATGAAATTACTGCAGGCATCCAATAAAACAAAGCCAAAACTGTGGGCCTGGTATTATTCTGACCTTTCTGTTTCCTTCAGTTTCAATGCTGGAATTTTTGGGAATGGGAACTGGAGTAAATAGGTAAGTTGATTAGAAGCAGATAGGTTTGCTGCCAAATATTTTAATATTTTTCTTAATATATGTTGTCCCAGTGGTCAGGACTTGTAGACTGTAAGTAATATCAGCTTGTAGAAAAACATCTTTCCTGTGAACCCATTTCAGTAAAATGCCTTTACCACAGAAAACCTTCTTGTTCATTTTTCAGGTGGTTGCAGGACAAAACTACCATCTAACATTTGCAGTCCGAAGGACAAATTGCTCAAAAAAAGAGTTTGAAAAATTTAATGAAGACTGTGAAGCCATATTAGACAGTGTAAGTAGGGACGATGTTGCCAACTGTAACATTCCTAATGGATAAATTCATTTACACCAGAAATTGTAAACACTTAAGTAAAATCACGTCCTGAGTTCTGTTACCTCTTTCAGCAAACTTATGTTTCAACAAGGACACAGTGACAACAGCAGTAAAACATGAAGCTTAACCTGAGTCACTCCAACTGCAGAATCAGTGCTCACTGCAAAGTGAAAGAAACTTCATTCTGATAATAATGAATCAAGAAAGGAGGGGAGGAGGCTGCTGCAAAATCAAGTAGCTGCGATACTCCTGACTCCGCAGACTTGCAGCTAAGGAAAACATGAGATTGGAGTGTTACTGGTGTGCAAAGGAATGATGTTTCTGGAGTGCCTGCTGCTGATACTGGGCAAATGTGTTCCAGACACTGGAAAGTCATGCTGATAAGGCCAGAAACCATTGGCAAGGAAGTTTGTTGGGAAAGAGAGGCTTTATTTCCCCTCTCTTTTCCTACCATATCAACAGTGCTTACCTGTGAGATTTTAGAATTTGTTAGTGCAGCAGGCACTGAAGAGAAAAAAAGATGCCCTTCTCTCTATCTCAGTTTCCCAATTTTTAGTAGGAGAAATACCAACAATAAACAATATTTGTTAGGAATATCATGAAGATTAAATAGTTAGTGCTCCAAAAGGGCTGGAGATGAAAAATCCAAATTTTCAAGATCAAATCTTCACTCCAAAGTTGAATTAAAGTGTTCACATAGGCATACTAGAACCTCAAAAAACTAAGCAGTGATGTGTCCCAATATAGAAGTCTCCATCACTAAGCTGGATTTCATATTGGGTATTTGGGTAAAGTTCCAAGTATATTTGTATTTAAAAGTATTATTAAAAAAAATCGTAATTTGTTGCATGCACAACTCTCTTCCTTTGTGTCTAATGTTTTGTTGATTTTTGTTTTGTCAACAGGCACCATTGCCATGTGAAGCACAAATTCACGTGATCCCATGGGAGAATAAAATCTTTCCCCAGGTTAACTGCTCTAAAGAACGGTCAATGGTATGACTCCTCTTTGTTACCCACTATCACAAGTAGAGCACAGAACAAAGGCAGTCATTAAATTCTTTATCCATTCCAAATTATCCCATATTTTGAACCAAAAATAAAGGTTGTTCTTTTAACAACCTCAATAATGCCACACTCCTCCCTCTCACCCTCTGCCCTCAGCAACTTGCTACATCAAAGTTTCACCACAAGGTTGAGACAGTGAGCAACACAGTGGTTACAGAAATACAAAGGCAAGAGGACAGAGAGAACATTCTGCCTGTTGACTACTCCTCTGTATTGTTAGTTAAGCTCTGAAGTACCAAGCCACATTAGCTCAGTTGAATTACTATTCATACTAGGTTTAAAAAATGAGACAAAAATGTATTTGGCAAAACAATAATTATACCCCACAGATTTCAAAAGCATCTGCAAATCTTTTCGTATTTAGTAGAGTAGCAGATCTCCTGCCATGAGGTGTCAGTCTCTGCAGAAAGACCTTTCAGTTTCCTTCCTGCCCAGCTTCACTATTAACTAGCCTTGAACATGGGTCAATTTGAAAACTTCAGAATGAAATATAAATCTTTTTTATTATGAGAATATATTTTAGTTCTGATGATTGCAGGTTTTTAAACGAATGCAGGGACTCCCATGCTCCTCAATGGAGAAGAGAAGATACACTAAATAAAGTGACATTGATTAACCTGCATTCATAATCAATAACTTCACTGTGCTCAGCATCTTCATAACTACCTATTCATTAATTATGTATCAACTAGTAAATGTCTCTCCTCTTTGCTGCAATACTGTATTTACATCAACTTTTAAATTTAGCTCCATCCCAAACAACTCTGATTTGCAGCCAGGTACTGATCAGACACTTTGGTGGACATAAATGAAACCCATGTTGGATAGTGACTGTACCCCATGAAGTCAGTCCTTGTCTTCCAGTTGAAGAGTGTTGGGGAAACAGAGATTACTCAATAACAGCTGAATGTTTCATATTATCAGCTTTAGCCTATATGTGTTATTTATAAGCAGTCTTATGAAATGCATATGTCAAATCTAGAAACAAAAAATTGAATAGTTACATTTCATTAAAAAAACCCAACCCAGATCTTTTGTATATTCTGGTATTGAGAGATGTGCTAGCTTTTAGCATAAATTGGTTTTATACAGTGGAATGTCATACTCTAATGAAGTGCAGGGACATTTAGTCCTAGAAATCAACTGTACTGTTCATAAATTAAAACCAGTACACGTTTTCCCCTCTATAGTATCATTCCCATGTTAGACGGGCAGAATATCAGTGATATATAAATTGTTCTTTTAATATATAACTGCTAAAATACTCTGGAGTTATTTGAGAGGATGTTTACATTTCCATGTTTATCACTGATATAAAAGATAATTATTTATTTTACTTTAAAAACTTGATACCATATTTTTGCTAAATGACTCATGTACTGCAATGAGTCAGCTTCTGAATTTCCCAAATCTGAAGCTATTTTTCTTGTTCATTTAACAACTGTGGCAATTATTGCAATGTTTTTTAGGAAGTACTTCTGAGAAGGCCTCCTGGATTCACACCTTTCCGAAGCTTTGCTGCCCTAGACCAGCCAGACGAAATTTCATGCTCTGATACAAATGAAGAAGAAAGGCAAATAGTTGTCAAAGAAATGAGAGAAAACGGTGGACAGGAACCAAAAGATGAAGGTGAACCTAAGCACAAACACAGGCATAAACATGGGCATAAACACAGGCATAAACATGGGCATAAACACAGGCACGGATATGAAAAGGATCATGAGTCTGACAAAAGGCATAGGCATGAAACTGGTTGTAGGCACAGAACTGGCCATGGGTGTGGGCATAAAAAACATAATAAAAATGGTAAACATAAGCATCCAAACCCCAAATCTTCTGAGAAGTCCAATGAAAAGGTTTTTAATCAAAACGAAACCCTTCCATCATCAAGTGCTGAAATAGCATCAGAGCTAGTTAAGCCAGGGGTTGCAAGAAAGGAAAGCAGTACACTTGCAGAACCACTAATTCTTCCTGATGCTTCTTTATTTAATGGGTTGCCAGATCGCCCAGAGTCTCCTCTCCCCAGATGTCCTGGAAAACCATGGAAACAAATTATGGACCTTCCAGCTCCTTCTAGCTTTCCCAGGGAATTCACAAATGAGGATCTCTTGCCTTCCGCAGTAGAAAACATCGATCCAGCAACAGAAAACTCAACACCTCCCCAAAACGAAGAGAAAGAGCTTGATCTCTCAGATGCTTTACTATAATTAAAACATCATTTGGATCTTTTTCAGAAGTTATATATAGAAAAATGAGAAAAATACTGCCTTTTGAAATGTATTAAGTGCAAAGAGGCAAAAGCCCCTATTCTGTTAGCTAAGATACTCAAGTAGGTCACCAGCACTTCTGGGGACCTAACACCATATGGCAATAGTCTGTATTTGCATATATTGGCAAAGATGTAAATCAGGCAACAGCACCAGTGATTCAGAACCAATCCAGTACAGGGACCAGGCAAGTCAATACCCTTCTGCTGCAGAAGTTAAAATTGTACCTCATTTGCCTCAAGTTGCTATAAGCACAAAGTGAATCACTGCATCAAATCTCACTGTATTATGTTTAAAACAATAGCACAAAGAATTTCGCAGGTTATGTAAAGAATGTCAACCAAATATAGGTAAGATAAAAGCAAGCCAGTATAGAGCAAGGATGCTTTTCTTAGATACCTGAAATAATATTTCTCTAGTTTACTGGAGCTGATCTTTTAAAGAACAAAATAAAATAAAGGAACCTGTTTTACCTGACAATTTCTTTAAGCAAATTAATATTACCACCAGTCTGTCACTAGCAGGCTGTTCTGTTGAATGAGATAACATGGATAGCTGAGAGAATCCTAAATAAAGCAGCTTTATTATTGCCTATATGGATTATGTTAACTACACAGTAAAGGCACTATGACAGATTTTCATGTGGCAGAAGTGCACACATGAAATTACAGATTAGATTATAGAATTGCAAACACTTGAGTTACCTAAAATTTATCCACCTTCTTCCATTAATAGGTTGTGCATAATTTAGAGGCTGGACTGAATTTTCTATTCTGGGTATTTACCAAAGGTTGAGTTTTTGGTAGGATACATTAGCTAAAAAGCACCAAATATTTCTATCAAATTAAAATGTTTTCCCTCTGTATGGATCCAATAACTTATTCAGCTGAAAAAACATCCAGCAATAAATAAATACTTTCATGCCAGATCAGTTCACCAGTTTGAACCACTACCTGGTCCCATTAAAAGTTATTGAAAGGATAAGGTGCTACAAAAGGTAACACTTCACCAATTTTGTTGTAAAGGACCACGTAGCTTGAAACCACAGTCTAAGTACCCTCCAACACAGCTGCAGTGAGAGAAAGGCTGTTCTCTGAAATCGTTCATCCCAGCTGCTGGGACTGCTGTGGCACCAAGACCATATAATAAACAGCTGGGAATGTGTCCCCCTTTTTTTTTTTACAGTGTAATTGGCTGCCATGTAGGCATACATTAGATAGAGAGAGAGATAACCTCTCATGATTCATAACCAGAACAACTGTATTTCCATTCTTTCTGAAAACAAAGTTACCAATCTTTAAGAAGTCACACAACTTAACTGAAGCCCCATTTTAAGAAAACATATAAAAAGAGCAACTCCTGCATCTACCACTAATTAAATCCTGCATTTTTTAATTCCTTTCGTTTCCTTGCTGGGTAAAATGCAAAGTCTATCTTTTCTTTTTAGCACATGACAAGTACTAAACTTACAAAGTTAAGCCTTGAGAGTTATCTTTAGTTTGCTTCTTTTCTTTTTTCTGAAGTGTGACTGGTATGATTTTGGCTGTAACTTGGAATTCCTTGTGTATGCTGTATCATTAAAAGGAGTATAAGCTCACAACAATTTTTCTTTAAATTACTGTAGCAATTTAAGTAATTAATGCAAAAAACAATAAAAGAAATGATGCAAAGATGAGAAAAACAAAGTTTTCTTCCTATCTCCAATCTCCCTCATCTGAATGAAAAGACAGTCATACCCTCGATATATTCTCCCTGCAGAGCACACGTACATGGCCACAATTACTGAAACATAGACTGAGCAGTCAGAGCAGAGTCATAAAAGACAAGACTTCTACATTCTTGACTGCCTTCAATTTACCACATGCTATAGTGATGATGTGAGGTTTCATTAATGTTTAATAATACAAAGATGAAAATTTTGACCTCTTGTTTTTATAATTTACAAAAATAAGTACTTTTAAAGAAGTCATTCTGGGATAAAAATCAAAGTGTTCCAGTCTAAAAATTTTGAAACAGAAGGTTCTGGTATTTTTAGAACGGAACATTTCAATTTCTCATTGACATGTTCCCACAGAAAGTTTTAATTATAACCAAACAGCACTTTCTGATCGAAAAATATGCTGTCAGAAAACTACTGACCAGGTCTTTTTCAGATCTGCTGCTGAAGAGTTCTGCAAAACTGCCAGTTTCTCCTATTGCTGGAATCATGCTGGAGGAGCACTTTACCCAGTGCACATCAATGCTCAACCACGACTTTGTTCCTTGCCCAGCAGATGGCAGATTCTTTGCCACAGGGTTTTTTTATCTCCAAACTAGGGGTTTCTGATTGCCAGGAAAGGTTTAGTAGGCTTAACATCCAGCGTTTCTTCTGGGTTAGTAACACTGTAGATAAAAAAACACATCTGTGTAATTTGTTTTAAATATTAAGCTCTTGTCAATAGAGTGTAAAAAGTTTGCCAATTACTCCTTAGGAACAAGGTGTATAAATAATGTTCTAAGTGTAATTTCATTAACATAAAAATTAATAGCTAGTCCTGCACGAGAAAAAAATGCATTCTTACTGATAGAGATAATCAGAACTAGGAGTCTGAGGTATGAAAATGTCTGAATTAGACCTCTGTTCATGATACTGCTGAGATCCAGAGCCACCTAATGGCCATCCTGCAGCTGTCTGGATTTAATGTGCTCTTATGTTCATTCCATCTGAGACAATGAGACAAAATGTGTATTTTAACTGACGTATGAAAAATTCCTCAGCTTTACTATGGATGACCTATTGGATTTTTGTTATAATTCAGGCATGACCTTTTAATCACACTCGGCAATTCCAATCATCCTCTAATGCTCTGTTCACATAATGTAACTAGCCACGGGAGAGAGATGTGCATGCACCTGACAACAGAAAATGGGGAGAATTAATGATGAACACAGCATTTGACAGCACGTAGGAACCCATTTTGTTCTTTGTTTTCTCAGGTCTCTCAGCCAGCATGATAATTGCTCCCAATTTAGGAATATCAGCTCCGAGGATAAAATGGATCTAAGTGGCAACAGAATTAGAAATGACAACACTGCATGGCCATTGTCATATAGACAGAGTTGTACCAAATCCACTGTACAAATTCCTCAAATATTCTTAAAAAAACCCTATATGGATTCATATTTTCAGCTCTGTGACCAGCTACTCACATACAACTCCTAATTCTGCTGTGTTTACAAGATTACATTAGTATAATTCAGCTTCCACAGTTTTAATTAAGCTTTAAGTGAAGTTCATGTGGTAAAATTTAATTAATAGCACAATGTTACTACCACGTTCTAAAATAAGAGGAAGGTTGCTTTAAGGAGGAAGAGTGAAGGTTTTCCTAATTGGGTAAGGCATCTTGCTACAATGGATACTAGTATTACTGCTGTTCCTGAACTGGTTTCAATCTGCTGCTCAGTGAAAACCCAAACACAAGCGCCAAAGGAGTAACGCTTGTCGGTATGGAATAACAAGGATCATAAACCTCATGGTGATTCTTTTCTGCCATGAATACTGTGAGTGCTGATTTGTGAGCTGAAGATCAGGCATTAAAATACTGGTTTCTCACAGCAAACTACTTACCTTGCTGTTTCAGTTCAAAGTCAGTCACAGAGAATCAGAAGTCCCCATAGAATCCAGAGTCCAAAGTAGTATATTTGTTTTAAAACTGAAGAGCCTGAACTCAAAATCTATTTTATGAGAAGTCACTGTATGAATTCAGTGGATGACTCTCTGTCTTCCACTTGATGTATTTATTACAGGAGCCCTAACAGATATCTTGGCTTGAAATGAAAAAATTACTGTGTGAGCAAAAAATAAGGGAATGAACAACCAAAACTGATTAAGGCAGGGAGTGAATGAGGTGTACCTTTTATCCAGGGAGGACATATTTTTAACTGAAACTTAGATTACTATTAAAAACTCAAACAGTTGGGGTAGACAAGAATGGAGGATTATTGATTGGGTGGAATATAATGCTCATCAGCAGAACAAGGGGAGCTATAATATGTTTAAAGAAAGACCTTGACCTACATGCCCAAAACACTATAGTTCAGTATTTTGAAAAATCCACCAGATGCGTGTAAAGAAATTTAAATAAAAGAACATTGTTTTATTTCTTATTCTAACCCTTAAGCACATCAGCAGAAGTTAATTCCTTGCCATTCAATTCAATAGAAAAAAGATTAATGCCATAAAACATCATAGAGAAGTAAATCTATTATAACTGAATTCTCTTCACTCATATGTGCCAGCTGTTCTACTAGCTGTATATTAACTAAAATGTTCACAAAATTAATAAAAATCATGGGATATAACAGGGCATACCTCAACTTCCCTGAAATCAATTAAGTATTAGCAATATGCTTTGTGGGGGAAAAAATAAAAATCAGTTCCAGAAGGTATCTAGGGTTCAGACTGATCAGTTAAGCAGTCTTGTGACCGCTAAACTAAAATCTCTTGTTTGAGCACAGAGGCCTGATCTTAACTTGTGCTGAGAAGCCTGTGCTCCCATTAACTTTAAATAGCATTGTTAGGACTCAGCCTTTATAAAAATCAGGCCTTAGGGTGCTCAGACAAAACCTATGGTGTAGAAAATTGACACTACTTGGGAGAGGCTGAGAGGGACAGGGAGCAGTGCAACACCTCCCTGCAAGCAGAAGAAGGTAACTATGGGCAGCATTAACCCTCAAAATAGCTCCTATATTTTGGGATGTTTTCGGAATTGGTCCAGGTACTGGCATTAACCACAGCAGCACTAGCAGCTTTCTAGCCTTTTTGCTGGCCCAAATGCAGAGATCAGAGTGTTCTGGGCAATGCTTTGCCATACTTCCTTACTCTCTTGACCACTCCCACAATATAAACCAAGGGGAAGAAGAAAGAAACACAAGCACAAACTACAAGATCACCTCTTTCT